TTTGCTGGCTGTTTCCCCAGCAACCCACAGCCGGGGGTGGAGGGAAGCCGAGGGAAGCGGCTGCACTCACGCCAGGACAGCCAGCGGTCTTGCCCCTCCGCTCTGGGGTTTTTTGGGCTGGCCTTGGTGCCTTTGCAGGGGCAACCCCAGATGGACCCACGGCAACTTGTCCTTTGGCAAGCGGGAGGCAACATCTCAGAGGACCCGGCGGGTGCTGCTGGCTCCCTCATCCCTTCCAGCCCAGAAGACACTCCTGAGCCTTTACACGCTGTTAGGTATCCCACGGTCCCACCTCCACGCTTCAGGGCCAACACCTCGGGGTGCTTGGCAGAGACTGAGTTTTTTAATTACCCAGCTGCCCAAAGGTTTTTTTCTTCCAACAAACGGCTGCAATTTCTGCTGGGGGGGGACCAGAGCCGAGGCCGCTGACTCCAGCACAAACCAGAGCTTTGTGCGCGTCTCCGCTGTGCCCCCACCCTCTATCCCTGCGGTCACGGGGCGAGACATTGCCCTTCCCTCCCTGCGCTGCCACCAGAGTTTTCAGCACGCTTCCCCTGGGGAGATGCTGCTGCAGATGTGCTGGCCAGCCCCAGCTCGCTGCACCCCCAGCACCGGCTGCACTGCCCAGCTGCCCACCCCGGAACAGATATTCATCTTTTTACCAACATCTACTTTGCTAATCACCTTTTCAACAACTTTTTCGTGCTTTTCTCAGTGGCTGAATAGGCATTTCGGGTCTCTGAGCAAGGGACAGGGGAGATGCAAAGCAGGGCTCGCATCGTGCCCGGACACAGCCCATACGCAGCCCGTTGTCCCCCCAGCGGAAAGCTGTTCACCCACAAACAGCTGCTGTCACTCCTACCAGGACACGCTCCCCTGGGAGCTCGTGCACGGCGCCTGCCCTCCCTCGGCTTCCCCAGGACCCTCTCCTTGGATGCTCCCAGCCAAACCTCCCCAGCCACCTCTGCGTCGCTCTGTCCTGGCAGGCTCCCAGGGCAGAGACACGCATGCGAGGCTCTGATCGCAGCGGGAGGTTTCTTTAGAAAAGCGCTCGTACCGGGAAACCCTCACTTCCTCGTCCCATCTGCGCTGGGAACAAGCAAGAAACACACACCCCCGAGCCCACACTGCGGCAGCCTCCCCAGCTAGGATAAATCAATGCAGCAGCACAGACTTCTCCCAGCTGGGTCCACGCTAGTGCTCAGAGAGGAATTCGTGCCACAGTGCAAAGCCACGCTTCCTTCTCAGCCCTGCTGCACCCCAGCCTGAGGAGCATCTCAGTTTATCTCCAGAGTTTTTGCTCCAGAGGAGACTGGGCCAGAGGCACGTGGGAGGTTTCGTGCACTTAGTTTGGATGCATTTGCTGGGGAAGTGAATCTGAACTGATCAAAGCAAAATGTGTTTAAAAAAACCTGCCTTAAAATGAGGTCCAAATCCTACCGTTGTCCCTGCAAAAGCTTCTCTGCTCCGGCAGCTCTGCTGACCTGTTTGTGCTCTCTCCCTGTGCTGCGTTTCTGGACACATCTGCAGGGGACTGCGGTTTCCACCAGCTCTGCTCTCCAGTACCACTAGCAGGGAAAGCAAAACCAGGTTGTCAACAGCCACCCAGGTGTCAATATGGCAAAGTAAGGGCTGGTGAGATGGAATGAGTAAAACTGGAAGGCTGAGAGGCCTTGGTGAGGACATCCAGGGCTTAACACAGAGGCCTCCAATAGTGCAATCTACTCTCAGGACCTCATTCCATCCTTCAACTGGGATGGCTCCTTAGGGCAGATTTTGGGCAGAGCTACCCGTAAACATTTGTGTTTTCATCTGCGAACCAGCCCTCCGCTGACTGCCTCCACTGAAGCTCAGGTTGTGTCAAAAGGAGGTGGAGACATCCTGCTCCGAACACCCTGAGCTGCAGCTCCTGGAGTTTACAGGAACAGTCTCCCTGTTAAATCCAGCCTGTTTTCACTGTACTCCAGTACAAGGGCCCTGTGATGGTGGTTGGTGACAGCATGGGTTTCTCCACCTTTTCCTGCCTCCTGGCTCTCCCATAAAGCTCCTGTCCTTGGGAGGACTCTTCACAGCCAGAACAGACATGATCTTAACACACAGGACACCTCCACCCCTGCCAGGCTCGTGCCTTTTCAGCCCATCCCCTTCGCTGTGGCAATTGCTGCCTGAATGCAAACCCTCACCCGGAGATCTTCTCTCCACGCTCGTGCAGAGCCCCCAGAGCCCGGGACTCAAAGAGAGGGGCAATAAGCGCTGGCCGCTGGCACGGCACAGCCTCCCGGCCCTCCAGGAGCAGGAGGGACCTTCCCCAGGGTTCAGCTCGGGCAAGGGAGCATCATCTGGTCGTTTCTGAGGGCACAGCCACGTGGGTGGCCAGGCATTGGTGGGACCCGAGGTCTGCAAGGGCCCGCTCTGCCCTGCCCAGGGAACGCTTGATCCAAACACCCTCGGAAAGAGCCCACCGGTTTTCAGCCAAGGCGCTTGCGTCTCCTCCTCACCCACGAAGGGATGTCCATGTCCAAGTTCACCTTCCTCCACTCTAGAGGCACTCCCGCAGGCCATGAACATCTGGATGCCACGAAACGCGCCGGATCAAGAGTGTCACCTAGTGGCAACAGAGCTGATAAAGGTTGCGTGATCCCGCAGAGACCCCACGCACTCCCCACACAAGTGGGATCCGACAGCCCTTCACCCTCCAGCCTGCAGTGACAAGGGACCTTGAGCACCACCACGCCTGGACAGCTGATGTGCAGGCTCCCCATGTCCACATGCAGCCCGTATGTGAGTATTTGGGGTCGGTTTTCCTCTTAGCGGCTCTCCCTCCTGCTCCCGAACCGAACGCAGCAGAAAGCCAAAGGGAACCATCGCTCTCCCGAGCCCCGCACCCTCCTGCGCTGCTGTCCCACCCGGTGTCCTGGTGTAAACGGCCTCTCCCTCGTCAGCACTGCGGAGCCTACTGCCAAAAACCAGACAGGCGTCAGAGCACTGAGAAATGGAAGTCAGAACTAATTTATTTCAGAAAAAAAACCAAACCAAAACAAAACCACCAATTTGTAAAAAGGAGGGGGAGGCATCGATTACAAGCTCTGGAAGCTCTTGTCAGGACAGCGCCAAAGAAATCAGCTTTATACAACAGAGAAAGGGGCAGCAGGAGGGGCCCAAGGCCGTCCCCCCACCCCGAGCCTCCCCAGCCCTGCTCGAGCTGCTCCCTGCGAAGGTCCATCAGCATCCCGGCACTCGTCCCTCTTCTCCCTCCACCACCATTGAAGTGCAGCAGGGAGAGGGGGGAGAGGGGCTGCCTTTCCCCCAGACCACCCCAGCGCCAGCCTGCCCTTGGCCTTCCCCTGCGGGCCACGAAACGCAAAACGCCAGTGCCCACAGCATGATCCAGCTCCCTCGTCGCCAGGGAGCTACGGGGTGGCCCGAGGACCAGCGAGGTAGGGGCTCTCACCACCACGGTTCCCAGCAACCTCACGCACGCAGCCCCAGAGGCACATCCTGGGGCAAAACACTGCCCGAGAGCTACCTGACACAAGGGTTGGGGTTAAGGTCCGGTGGGTGCAGGAGGAACGGCGTGTCCACGCTGAGCCCACGCGTCCGCAGGCAGGGCAGATGGGAGCAAGGAGGGATGCTGCTGGTCCTGCACGCCCCAGGAGAGATGTGCGTCTCTGGTGGGACTGTGGAGAGGCTGCGTCCCTTCTTCCTCTGCCCCAGCCACCAGC